AGCTGATTTCCATTATTACTAGTTTTGTTACTTTTTTTTGAAAATTGAATTTTTTGAAGACAGTGGCTTTTTTTTTGTTTTTTACTTGTAGACTTTACGGAGTTTGTTCTTAACATAAGTGAAGTTTTTTGGTGCTGTACCCCACAATTTTTTTTAAATTTTTTATTGGTGGATGCAAATAGGTTGGGTTTTCGCGTGATTAATTGATTTTTTTTTTTTTTTTTTCATTTAATATTAAATGTAGATCAAGTTTTTGTAAACAGTTTGCTATTGTTCTGCTTGCCACAGTTGTGGCTACGTGCTACTGTGTGAAATTCTTGCATTCCCCTATACTATACAAAAAGAAGTACAAATTAAGGAAATGGGAAATTAGCTTTTTGAATGGCTTTCCAGCGAGTAACTTAGCCGGGACATTAAATTTCAGGAAAATTCAGCAATTATTATGTAGCCATGGATGTGGCGAGCGGGATGTGACAGCCTTAGAACCCCCAGAATAAGTCAATTTAAAAAGTCCTAGTTCAGACTTAAGTCGGCGTTTCTCTCAGCTGTTAACAAGAGGCGCTACCGTGTATCCTTGCCGTCCCTCAATCTACACAGAGAAAGGCTAGAAGTGGGCTTTCCATTGTTCATAAGATACTTCCATGTTTTTGCCTAAATTTCGGTAGGAACGTGGACTATTTTTGTACGAAATTTATTAAAAATAACAAGCGTTGATTTTCCGTCATTGGCTTTTTTTTTTTTTCAAATTATTCGAATGAGTCACATTTCTTGAGTTCCTCATTTGAAACCGAGTTTTTTTCAACCAGCTGTTGAGGCGCCTTACGTTTTTTACTCTTTTTAAAGTCCTTTTCAAGTAGATTGTAAAAAAAAAAGCAACAAATGTTTCCCAAGAATGAACAACGTTATAACAATAAACATGCTGAAAGATATATAAGGGCTATTCCACGCCAAATCACACACGTTTGAACATTATTTATCAGATTTTTTTCATTTTTTGCTGATTATTAAAGTCTATGCCAGCATAAAAAAAGCCGCAAAGGAAACCTGGAAAAGTGAATTCCCCGCCAAGTTACACCCCTCCCCTCAAAGTTGCATAAAATCCGCCAGGTTGCCGCTTGACATGCCTGTCTTTGGAGCTTCATAATTCGGCCCGTCCTTAACGCAATTTAACGATTTTTGATCCTCTTGTCCTGAGTTTTTGAAAAAATGTTGAATAGTTAAATTCTGATAAAAATTCACAAAGATATAATAAAAGCAAAATTTCAAACAAACATA